TTTTTCCGGCCTACAGTATCCCTTTTCCCTGCTAAGAGCCTGCTGTTTTCATCCCTGGAAAGAAAGTTGGTGACTTGCTGTTTTTTTGTGCCACGGCTCTTTTCATCGAAGATCTGGAGGGAGGTTGACGTGATTTCCTACCTTTATTCCAGCGATGCTTTTGAACCCTAATTTTAGTATTGGCTTTTTTCATGCCATCGATTATTGCTTTTAGCTCCCTGTTTTCTTTTTCCAGCCTCTTAATTTTTGCTGTCAACTTGGGTTGACGAACCTTTTGAGGGGGACATGGATTTGAGGAAAGAGAACCATGAGCAGGAGAAAGATGAACAGGACTTAAGGACACATCAAGTTCTTCGGGTGATGGGGGACATGGATTTGGGGAAAGAGAACCATGAGCAGGAGCAAGATGAACTGGACTTAAGGACACATCAAGTTCTTCGAGTGATGGGGGAGTAATGTCCAAAATGGCTGCCAGATCCTTCTTCTTCTTCCTGTTCCTTGCCTTTGTCTTCCTCCATTCCTCACGAAGCTTTGCTTTCTTGTGTTTTGGAAGGCTGGTTATACTTCGTGGCTTGATTTCTCCTTTGGCTTTCTTTTCTTGATATCTGTTGATGGAACAGAGACAGCTGTTACATGTTTTCTGTACAAGTGTAGATCTTAGACAATGTTTCACGAACTCAATGTCCCTATTATGAACTTATTTACTTTCTCCTTCTCTCCCTAAGGATCTCCTCATGCCTGGCTTCATCCTGCGCTAACCTTTCCCGGTACCTCCTTGTCCTTTCTTTGCTCATGCCTAAAAACTGACAAAAATCACTTTAAAAACAATGATCAGTAACTGTTAACATACACATACAGCAAACAAATGAAGACAGATATTTAATATATGTATAATATATACACTGGTAATATATATATATATATTGGTATATTATGTATAATGAAGACAGAAATATAAATGTGTACTATATGTATAATATAGGTATATTGTGTATAATATTTATAAAATTTGTTTAATATACATAAAGAGACAGAGATATCTTTATATTTATGTTTATTATTGCAAACAGAACAGATGATAATTTAGCTAGACATCTGACTTAATTATGTCACACCACAAGACTCTTTCACCTTGGCAGCCATTTTGAGTCATTGCTATACAAGACTGACCTTGGGCATTACAGTTACTGAATAAGTTCATTGTTTTAAACATAAATATGATTCTTTTTTGAAAATATTTTTCTTTTTTCTCGAACTAGATCAGTCACACCACAGGACTATCAAAAATGAACATGCTCATGGTCCGTCAAAAACAATGAAATTTATCAAATTAATATGAGATTAACACTCACCTTTCAACCTTCTCAGCACATGCAAACATCTGGGGGTCTTCTCGGTAGGGGGCTTGACTAAAGGACTGTCCATGTAACCGCCAGTACAAAAATCTAATATCCTATGTCACACTGCATTTGTGTTACAAAACTAAATGTACTATAAATATTATTTTAGTTCTTTTTAGCATTTTGAAACCTTAAGTTAATGAAGTAAATACATACAAAATAATGCCAATGCATTTATTGGCTGCTCCAAACATATCTGCTTCATTTTACTAATGTTTACATTTGATGAGTCATCAATGTTACAGTCACACCGCTATTCACATTGAAATATGAACAACATCAAATACATTTTACGTCCCAAAATCATTATATTGAAATAAAATGATGTTCTCTGCCCCAATGATGTGTTGTTTTAGTTGAGAAATGCAGTTGAGTAAACATTTATACTGAATTACAGAAAAAACAGGCGTCACGTCATCTGCCCAATGACAAAATCCCAGCCATCGGACACAGGAAAAACAGGAATGTGTCCTCCTGTGCGACACCATTCTTCCAACACTCTCCACTTACAGTCGTATTGAGACCTGGTGGAGGATGCCCTACCATTCTGAATAGTGGCAATAACCCTCTGTTGGAGTCCCACAGTGGTCAAATCGAGCCACTCACGGGCCAAACCCATAGTGCCAAGCGCTCTGGGTCTGGGTGGAACACCGATCCACCCCCTGCGACAGCAGGTCTCTGTGCGGCGGAAGTTGCAAAGGCTGAGCACAGAGCATCCGATAAATCTCAACTAACCAGTGCATTGCAGGCCAGTGTGTGAATCAACATGTGGCCGTGTTCTCTCACTCTGGACAGGATGGGGGAAATCAGGGACAGGGGAGGGAACACGAATAGCAGCTTGTGTGGCTAGCCGTGCATCTATGCCCAGGGGAGCATCTGGACTGCGCAGGGAGATATACATTGCGCACTGCATGTTTTCTCTTGAGGTGAACAGATCCACGGTGGCCCGGCCATAACGCACTCAAATCTGCTCCACGATTTCCGGGTGCAGAGTCCATTCCCCGTTGTACCGAGGTGCCCCTAGACAACAGGTCCGCACCTGTGTTCAGGACTCCTAGACAACAGGTCCGCACCTGTGTTCAGGACTCCTAGTACGTGCGTGGCTCTCAGGTGAAGGAGGCGCTTGCTGCTCCTGAGAATCAGGTTGTTAACATGTGTAACCCACGGGAACGCAAACCCCCCTGACAGTTAATATACGCCACTGTCGTCATATTGTCTGTCCTCACTAAGACATGATGACCCATGAGTAATTGAAAGAAATGTTTCAGGGAGAGAAGCACTGCCAAGAGCTCTCAAAAGATTATGTGAGATTGTTGAAGACCCTTGCAACAGCGGCGTCTCACAGGCCTTCGTGTATACAGCCCCAGCCTGACAGACTTGCATCTGCAGTGACTACTTTCCTGGACAGGACAGAGCCCATGGGCATGGTCTAAGACACGATCTGAATTGAACAGATTTGCATGGACGAAAGAGTGTGAGACACACTCTGAAAGTCTGTATTGAACATTGAGTCCTCTGGCCGAAAGCACTGTCACCTTATAAGCCTTCTCGGTCAGGGCTGACTGAAACCAGTCTGACTTAAAGGTGCGCTATGCATTCCTGCATGACTTTACTTCTGTTGACGTTTGAAGTAAATACCAAACAAAACAGAGCAAGCTTGCCCCTCCCCCCCATGTTTGCATCGGACTGGAAGCCCTTCTGCCGGTGGAGTTCTCGCCACCTTTGACTCGATTCCTCAATATAAATGCGGGTCTTCGTTCGTTCCTTCTCCATTTCTCTCCTCCTCACCATATATTCATCTGAACGTCTTTTCTTTGGTCGTGTCCGTGCCTCGGCCATTTCCCAAAATATACTGTTGAGTCTTTAGACCTAGTTCACGGCGACGTCCAGCTATCTACTCTCAGATACTCACGCTACTCTATCAACTCTGCTCACTGCCCCCCCATATGTGCACGCGCATTAACCCCCACCCCCTCCCCCAACCATCTTGTTGGTCATTGGCTGGAACGTGGTTTAAGTTATGGGGCACAACCTGTGCCCCTAGTGTTTGTTTGCTGTTTGTGACGCCTGTGTTGTCTCCAGAGACTGCGGTTTTTCACAGTGTATTCAGGGGGCAGGCAGCTAGCAGATCAAGGGGAGATGCCTATGATCTGAGACAAAAATAAAATCACGCTGAAACCATGCAGGAATGCATAGTGCACCTTCAAGAGGGCAATGTAGGGCTTCAGGATGACACTTACAGCCGAGGATGGAGATGTGCCGCAACCAGCGGTTCCATCGAAGGCATATGCAAGAGATGCAGGCTCTCCATCGCTTCACAATCAAGGAACAGGGCGCCGGGTATCAGCTTAATGCAGCATACGGGCAGTCTTTCCATGGACGCGCCATCTCGATTAGCAGCGCCAGGAAAGACTTGGAGATGTTGTGTTGTCGCACTCCTAGCCGGGAGCAATCTCTTTCCTTTGTAACGGGATCTGGTGATCTCCAACAGCAGGCCAGGGGATTTCCAGCTTCTCCGCTGCGCGTTTGCACACGTCCAGCAGGTCGGTTGGGAGAGGAGAAATCGTCCTCCTCTTCGTCCTCTGATATGAGGATATCTGAGGTCTTCATCTTCCCTATAGTCTAGTTCTAGGACGTCTTCCTTGTGAGAGGGACACAGAGCTAGCTCAGACTGGGAACCCCAGCTGATACTATCCTCCGGTGACTTCCTTCTCCTCTGCAGGCTCGACAGCGTGGTCGCCGGCAGGGAGATAGGGGTCAGACAAGCTAGCTTGGTGCGCTAACCGTCTGCACAGACTTTTAAGTGTGAACACTGCCCTAAACAGCTTGAGCAGATCTGGTCTGTGTCCTTGCTTGAAATCTTATTTCCACAATGACAGACGCAAGCTCCGGAGTCTCTGTTACCTCTGGTGTGAGGAGCTTTGGTCTCCATTCCTCGCGAGCTGATGAGCAGGCAGGGGTGGAGGCAGCTTGCTGGTATGTTAGCCGGATAGCTGAGATATTGGTTGGAGTGCTAATGCTTGGCTGCACTCGAGCAATCTTGGAGAGGAGCCGAGATGCGGAAACCAAGCTGTGAAGGGCAAGGCATAAATACCGAATCTGATCTGGTGTGACCTGAGAAGAGCAAAAAATCCCAAAGTAAGCTAGCGCCAGGCGACAGAAGCTAGGTAAGATCCGTCTATTTACAGTTAAGCTAGTTAACATTGACGCGGGATATGCTCCAGCACGCAGTATTTATGGTAGGTGGCACTACTGGGTGCAGACGGACACGGTCAATCAGGATTGGCGTGATGAGATAAGTGCTTCTGAGGGTCGCAGTGAGGCTTGCTCCCATAGTGAGACATGGAGCGGAATATATGAAAAAGAAATTATGTATTTCACGTGCAGAGAGCAGTGAGAGCTGATACTGAGCCAGTTAACAGGTTATGATCTGTACCACTCCAAAATGATAAAACAAAGACAGGACGTGATGATTTTGTAACAGCATCAGAGCTGTTGCATTTCTTATGTGACAGCATTGTTGTACCATGTGAGTAGTTTGTACTGAGAGTTGTACATGCTGGTCAGTGACTGTGCTGTCTCAGTGGGACAGTGTCTTACCCTGATGAGGAGAGTCCAGGAAATACCTGGGATCTGTGATCCTCGTGTTAATTGGTTCAATCAAACCAGTGATTCCTTCCTGTGAAGAGCAGAGACATGTCACAACACTAATAGACAAATTATACATACAACATTTTAATAAGCACGACATGTCCATATACTGTAACACTACAGAGACATGCAGGTTATGATGTGACATTAACATGTTTTTTAATCCATTCACAAACAGAAATGTAAATTTATGGACGTCATGGTCGTCAAGTGGTTAAGACAGGGCTGCAACTAGAGTTGTATGCTGGAGAGTGACACTGGACACTGAAACCTGTAAAAGCAATCTTCTAAGTGGATGGATAAACTTCTATCATTGTGAAATAATTCCAACATATAACTCCCATCATATTTAGATTCTGTGTGATTAAACACAGCCCACTCTGATGTGGTTAAAACCCACATCGGTGTCATGACCCTCTCTGGACTAGCAGTTGGTGCAGATGCAATGTAATTCTCATTTCTATCAGTTAAGTGTATGACCTCCCCTCCTGCTGACAGTGAGGAGCAGGGTGACAGCTGTCTCAGATGAATGGGTCCAGTCAAGGCCCAGTGCCTGCCAGTCGGTGGGTGTCTCTGCTGTGTTTAGGTGGTAGGTAGAGGTGTTGGTAGGTCTACTTCTGAACTTTGGACAAAGCCAGGCTAGCTGTTTCCCCCTGCTTCCAATCTTTATGCTAAGCTATGTTAACCACATCCTGACTCGCACACACTCTAGGAAAGAAGCATTTTCTGAAATGATCCATGCCTTTACAGATGAAGTAACTGAATTATTCATATTTCTTCTGGAGATTGAATATATTTGATAAGTTGTATAATGTCTTCTGTGGACATACTTTGATCATATATAAAGTATGAACATGAACTTTTATTTTCCTTGATCATTTCAAGGAATACTCATTCAACAACAATCACTCTTTAAATAAACTTTGTTTTGCTGTTGGATAGGGCTGTGTGGCTACATTTCATCTTCTTTGATATCCATTAAACATTTATCAGAACAATACAATATTGTTCATCATTGCACAAATTCATTGTGCACAAATCATGAATTCAGAAGAACAATTTAACATTTGGTGCAAAAGATTTTTTTCCCCTGAGCCTGACAGTTCTCATTCTTGTTGTATATCAAATGGTATATACATGTATGGTATATCTTACATTCAATTCTAGTGTCACTCTGCTGATGTTGTTCTGCTGAACAGAAGAAGACACCGACCTTTGAGAGGACATCAGCAGCATAATTTAGGTTCTGTACAAAGATGGCCTCCATCTCCTTGGCAACTGCTGTCCTGTGTGAGCCCACAGGAACCCTCCCTGCCATCAGGTGGATCCTGATAATGGAACATAGAAAAGATGACTCACTGCTTCCACTGCTGGTGCTCTGAAACCTGTTGTTTTACAGCCTGTTGGGCAGGTAACAGGTAACACGGACTCAATTCAAATGACATTATATGACTTTGTTAAAACCACCAGCAAAAGTTGACTTTACTTTATCAAACACAGAGTCGTTTGGATGCAAGTGGTCGACTGATATGGGTTTTTCAGTGGCCAATCTTGATGCCAACAAGCGAATGCAACTGAAAACCGGTATTTTTCCTGTACATTATGCACTTTCTCTTGAGTTTGGCTATTGCTGCATAGCTAATGTTAGCATTAGCAACTGTTTACTGACCAGTCTAGAAGAAACGAGTTCAGCATCAAACTTCATTCTTTACTTACCAACAGCTGTCTCCAGAGGTGGAAAAAACACCAATGTTAACTCTTGTTAAGGCACGAGCACCGACCGGACTCGATAGCGCCATCTATTGTTGCACAAATCAGACAGGGTTTCGCCTACATGCACGAAAGTTGGTATGCAAATTTACCATATCAAGACCTACAAAAAACATAATTACAATCCATAACCTAAACCCAACAGGAAGTGAGATATTTTGCCATCAATCTGCAATTTTTGCGATTTCAGGACATCATACTTTAAACAAATTCCTCCTAGGGAATTGATCCGATTGACACGGTGTGCAGTGAGTGTCATCTTAAGATCTTTTTGAATAATAATTAAATTGCGAAGCTTTTGAGTTTTCACCATTGGACCAGCCCACTATGGTGTGACGAATTTGGATCCTTTGCCATGAAAATTCGACATGCTGTCATTCCAACAAAAAATTTCCAAATGACTCCAAAGTTCCTGAGTGTGATAACAGTCCAGCCCTGAACACACTTTTATGATCATATACGGTGATACTCATACTGCCCCCTTGTGGAAACAGGAAGTTTCCAGTTTTACGCTTCGTTATACTGCACATAGCAGGATGACCGTATCTTGACCTAGACATGATCAGGAAATGCTTAACAACTTGATGATGTACTATAGTGAAAACTGTGAGTTTTCGTGGAACATCCTTCCTGTGGTGGTGCGGCGAATTTCGATCCTTCGCCATGAAAATTCAAATCACTGTAACTCCACCGTGCACGGTCCAGAGTCCCACCCTGAACAGACGTATACGTCCATATTTAGTAATACTCATAGCGCCACCTAGTGGCAATATGTGATGTTATGATTTTCCTTTTCTTTAACATTCCTGCATTTTTGACCTGGCACTCAACAAAAGGGTCAACAAATAATTTGTTGAAGATGCTGATGATCCTTGATTGGCAATTTTTACGTTTCACATAAGGGCGTGGCTCTGGCAGCGAGTTAACTACAAACCAGGAAGTGGCTTTAAGGTCAATGAAGCATTTTTCGAATTTCAAGATCACTGGTGGTTTATCCTCATCTTCTGACCAGCCCAATCCCACCCTGAACGGTGTTTGCGTTTTCATCAAAGGACACGCCCGTGGCGGCGTGGCCAAATTTCAATCATTCGCCATGAAAATTCAACTTCCTGTCATTCCAACGCACATATTACAAACTGTTCCCAACCCTTATAGGTTTGACAAGAGATCCACCTGAACACATATCCATGCTCATATTTTGTAATACAACCTCATGGTAATATGCAGAATTTTGAGAAAGGAAGCGGTTATAAATCTGACATACTTTGTCCTATCTTCTCTAAAGGTGTCCCAGTATGCAGCACACCTACACGATGCATGCCTGCTAAAATTGTGAGTTTACACTGAACGGTGTGGAATCATTGGAATCACCATGGAACATTAAATTTAGATTTAGAATTCAATGTGCAATTTTGGCACCTTATTTGCCACTTTAACGGATGCATACTTTAACAAACTCCTCCAAGGGAATTCATCTGATCGACATGTAGATCGGTGACTCTCATCTTCAGACTTTTGTGAATTTAAATTGCAATGCTTTTTGTGTTTGTTGAAGGACCCGCCTGCAGTGATGCGGTGAATTTCGCTTCAATTTCACTCGCTCTCATTCCATCACACGTTCCAAGCTCTGGAACTCTTACATACTTTGTCCTATCTTCTCCAAACGTGGTCAGAGCATACATTACAGCTAGGTGATGCTTTCCTGTTAACATTGTGAGTTTACGCTGGTGTGGAATCCCCAGTGCATTACATTTGCATGTTTCATGCCCCCTCTGTGGCTAGTATCACAGTCCCATCATTGTATGGTCTCTGCCTCCACCCACCTGGACGTACTAGAGAATGCTAGCAAAAATCCAATATATTCAGTGGGTTTATCTCTATTGTATACTGTCCATTCCTCCCCAAATTTCACGTTTGAAGAAAGTCTCACACAGTAGACATATGCATAGTAATATGAATTTTCACAGAGTCACATACTGGAAACAGGAAATAACTATTGTGTGACAATCATGTAATTTATATGATATTTCAAGTGTAAGTTCTTACACAGAGCCTTGTGTTTGCCCATTGTGTGGACTCTGCCTTGACACAATTAACATAATTAAGCATGAATAAAATATGCTATACTATGCTGTGCGGTCTGCGTGACGAGTCTCACCCCGTGAGTGCTTTGTCTGGCAGTCATAGCGCAGCGCGCTGCCCAAGTGGTCTGTCTCGTCCCTTTCTGATACCGAGTCACTGTAGCCTCCAGTCTCTCCTGAAGAAGCAGCTGCTCAGAGGTCGTGTCATAACCTTGTAGGAGAAGATGAGAGACGGATGCACGAGCAAGATAAGAACATCCAGAGACAGATTGCTCAACTGCAACTGGGTGAGCTGCAAGTGAAAAACAAGGAAAAGCCACAGGCTGCAGTTGGGGGAACAAAAGACATGCAGGTGGTAAAGGGACCACCAAATGAAGTCACAGCACCTGTAATGGTTGTGGAGGCACAGAATGTTATGCCACCACAGTCACAGAGGCAGCCACCGCAGACAGCTTTGGCAGCTCCCCAAGCTCAGTTGCCACCAGTGGTAAACGTCTACCAGCAACAACCTGACAGCCAACACCCCGGTAATCGATATGAGGGGCCGTACCGACCTCAGGGGATGTATAGAAGGGGTGGACGTGGTGGCGGTGGACGTTCAAGGGGATGTTGGAACTGTGGTGACTATGGACATCATGCTGATAGGTGTCAGCAACCCCGAGCTGGTGGAGACTTTCAGTACGGCCGCGGGCGGTCCCAGCAGGGTGGAGCTAGAGGCCCGGTGAACCCATGGGCAGGGCCCAATTCTGGCTACTAGGGCTGCCCAGAGAATCCTAACGGGGAGGGTCAATTCCCAATAGTCATCATGGGAACTGATGAAGAACCAATGCTGCAGGTTCATATAGAAAGCAAACAGACGCCTATGCTGGTAGACAGTCGAGCAACTTACACATGTGTAAGTCCAAAGTATGCCACTCACCTCCCCATGTCTGAAAAGTTCATAGCGACAGAAGGATTCTCTGGAATAAAGCAGCTTATTCCAATGACCGCTCCAGTGAAAATTACCACTAACAAGGCCGAAACCAAAATACCAATATTAGTGTCAAACCAAACTCCAATCAATCTGTTAGGAAGAGATGCATTGTGTAAACTGGAAATTAAAATCTGGTGTACTCCTTTGGGAATTTATGTTGATAAAGATGGCCTGGATTATCAGATGATAATGCAAGACCAAACAGAAAAAGCTAAGGTTTATTGGCTGGGAGATATCTCTGCACCAATAATGCAGATGTTAGACAAATGGGGAAAATACATCCAGGCCCAGAGTCCAGAAACCTCCAAGCCATCATTTGACTACCACTGTACTGTATTCTATGATGAAACAAAAATGAGAAATTTGAAGAGGAATGGGACAAAATGACCAAAGGAGTCAAGGTTGAGCTGATCTCCGAATACATCGTGATTGGACAAGAGGGAGCAGCTTTACAGGTAGAAAGTAATCCCTTCCTCAGAAAATGGTATAATGTGCCAGGATCAATACCACACATTACCTTGTTAAAAAATAAGAACTTTAAAGAAAAGGATTTGGGGCCAATGATGAAAACTGCCTCTACACTTAAGTGGGAGAAAACTGATAACCCAGTGATCTTCCAATCACTAGAGGCAAATATGATAAAGATATTATGTGGCACATCAATGTTGGCAAAACCCCAAGAGGTGATACTCAAGCAAACTCAAGCTGTACAAACAACTAGCAAAGAAAAACAGACAAATGTGGAACTGTTGGAGGACATGCAAGGACACATTCCAGAAATGTTGTGGTCGAAGCATGACACTGACGTTGGCTTTGTAAAATCTGCCAACCCAATGTAGTGTATTATCCACTTCATTTCCTTATGTTACAACATTTTAAATTGTTGCATGTTCTTCTTCTATGTGTGTTTCATATAGGGGTGGGCGATATGACAATATTAGATCATGAAGGATTACAACGTGAAGACGATCTTTCAAACTGCAGAGATCGTGGGATCGTCTAGGGCACATTCTATAAATTGCAGTTCAATGCTGATGCACCGACACACCAGACGTATTGACGTCGTCAACCTGACCGACCAATCATAGCGAATTACGGGCAGTGACGCACTTTCCTACCTGCCTCCTTGTTTGTGTGTGTAGCGGTAGCACATGGAGAGCGATGGTTGAAAGCCAAACGGAGTTGGTCGCTAAAAAAAATTCCACCTCCATTATATGGAATTGGTTTGGATTTTCCGCAACTGATCAAGCACAAGCAAATGTAATTTGCAAAGTTTGCACAGAAACCGTTCACACGTCGGGTGGTAACACGACGAACCAGAATGTTGTTGTTGTTTACCTTAAACTTTACGTTGTTTGCACATGCAGGCAAAACTGCGACTATTTGAAATAAAATCTGTTAAGAAAGGTTCTTTGGTCTAAATTGTCTGTTTTTCTTTTTCCAATTTAAGATCGTGATAAAATCGAAATCGTGATTTTATTTTTAAAAAATCGTGATATGATAT